CATTTTTAGGCCAAAAGTGAATCCGATATACAATTAATATGCGATAACTATATAGACATACAATCGATGACTATATCTGTGCCCAGAGTTGTGGTCAACAAAACCAGACAACTCTTAGACAACTACGACAACGACTCGCATATCATTAGTGTTTGTATTCAGTCTTACCACTCATTATCTCCACAACTAATCCATGTGTTGATGTGCTATTCACGCAGTTATTGACCAATTTATGCCAATTTGTTTACTTATGCCTCAAAAGCACTGATTTGTCGACCGATTCATTGATGGCTTTATTTCCGCAGACATTTCACCCAAAACTCAGACAATTATTAATCAAATTAATTGTGAAAAACTCGGATAAATGGCTCACAAATAGTAAACCGATTCGTGAGTATTGACCGCTAGTTATAGTCAACACACGGTTAGTGTACAACACTTTGAGTCCAATTTATGTCCACTAATTAGGAGACAATCATTAGAGGACTAATTGTACACTAATATAGTGTTCACTATTAGCTATGCTTTGAATGAGTGTTTAATTGAGATATGAATTGCTTTTTGATGATAAGAATCGATGCCATCGTTGGATGAGTTCCGGTGCAGAACCGAAGCCAACAAATGTGTGATTGATATGCAGTTAAGTGATCGCAAGAATCCGATGTCCGTTGTGTTGGATAAACAACAGCTCAAAGACATGACTGAAGGCATGGCTGCTATAAGACAACAACTCTTCGACGCCACCCATAAATCCGATTAAATTGAATTTATTTAAGAATTTTCTTATAAGTTATTCCCAAATATTACTATTGATATGAATACCAGTAATATTGGTTAATATTAATTTGGTTACAATCTTAATGAATAAGAATAGGAAATGCAATTAAATTCAAATATGTTTTTATTTCATTTTCTACGAAATCATAACAGAGTTTAAAATAAATTAAATTAATTGAAAATTTCGTTTCGGATAACAATTTCTTTAATCATTCATCTATTGATGGCTTAATAATGAATACCATTTGAATTAAAACAATCAATTGATTGATGAGTACAACTATTTGGCTATTAACATCGCTTATCCTATAAGTGCTTTGAGTTCATCGTAGAGGACGAGTACGAAAGCGCCTCCCGTTCCTCGGAATACGTTAGAGAGGGCGCCCTTGAAGAAGGCCCGCGAGCCCTCCGTTTTGGCGATTTTGCCCCAACAGTGGATAGTACTCCTATACATGCGCTCATTGGCTGCCAGTCCCGACTGCATCATCATTCGACGTCTCACAGTATCGAAGGGGTAGGAGATTATACCCGATATTGTCGTCACTGTCTGTGCGATCATCCACGAGATCACGAGCGGAGTGTTCTTCGGGTCCGGAAGCATACCCTTCGCGGTGTCGAAGAATCCAAAGTATGCCGCTCTGTAGATGATTATACCTATTCATTGGC